TTCTCCATCAGGATTCATTCTATTTTACAGATTTTTATACATTTTATAGCTCTATTTGGAGGAGTTGTAGTTTGTAGGAGTTCATTTGCCTTGCTTCCTTCTACTTAGTCATCCTGGCCCCTCCCCTGCAGAATCTCTCCAAAGCGCTTCTCTCACAGAAACAGCTTCCCTAGCCTCCTCCATCTAGGGAGACAGCATCAGAGACCCTTGGAGTATGTGCCAGTCCCATCACAGCAATAACTCTCTAAAAGAAATAGAGAGGTAAACCATTAGAAAACAATTTAAAACCCAGAAATAGAACCAAATGAATGTAACACAATGAATTTGTGGCAGGGATAGAACTCAAGGCTACATCCTCTAAACAGACTTGAAGAACCTATGATTTCTCAGAATGGGTATTCTGTGCAGCACCACAGATCCCAATCCAACAAACCTTTATTTATTTATTTAGCACTGTCATGTCCTGAAATTAACCAAACGCATGAGTAGAGGAATAAAGCATCAAGATAACAGGGAACAAGATAACCTGCCACCCTGGGGGATGTCCCACCAGCAGACTCACAGGAAAAGGTTTTTATACTTTTAGGAGAAAAGAGGGAGGGCTAGAGTTTGAAATATTAGAATACTGACATCCTGCTCAGTTGTCAATCTTCCACAAAAGGCCAGCACTCAATGTTACTTTAAATTGTTAGCATGTCTAGTAAGATTTTAGGACTCCATCTTTCACAGACAAGGACATTTTAAAGAGGTCCTTGCTACGCCAACCTCACAGAGAACCATTATCATTATCTTTTATGTTTCTAAAGAGTTTTTTTTAAAATAACATGTTTACATCTATAACCCAAAAGAATTAAAAAGAGTTCAATTTTCTAACAATATTTCTAATCACATGAATTATCAGATTAATGTTAAGCATTATCTTTATGCACATTACAAATCAAATAACTGAAGTAATGGCTTAAAACCATTTCCTGATCCATACAGTATAATAAATTCTAGGAGGGAAACATTTCACTTAAAATGAGACTAGAATAAATTCATTTCGCCTGGATCTATTTTCCAATTGTTATCATCCAGAATCTCAATTTATAATGTCAATTATTTAATCTTATATTTTACACAAGGACTATTTATTCCAAGCATTTCATATTATGAGACATTATTTCCGGCTAATCTACTGCCAAAGATTTTAAAAGTGAGTGTAATTACCCCAATTATCACACTTAGAAACACCATGCTTATCAATTTTCTCCTCACCCTCTATAACTTTCTTTATTGGCTTTCAAATCAAGCTGCAGTTTTTTATTACTACTGTAGGCCTCAATCTGTCAACTTAAATAAAGTCAAACTTCCTCAAACCTTCTTTAACATGTTTAAGCCATCTGTTCATTTTTTTATATACCTCTCTTTCTTATGGTTCAAAAACCCAAACCTTCTTTCTACTTTCCATATTTTCCCTCAAGTCTTTATTTCTCTTTCCAAATCTTCTAAACCCATGACTCAGACTACACATCTTTCCTTTACATTTCAGCCACATCCCAGATTGCACGTACTGTTGTTAAACCAATCAGGGTATCTGTTATAGAGATGTTTTTAACAAATAGGAGACTAAAGAGTCTAGCCTTACATATAGTTTAGCACTTTCGCATGGCCTATTGTAAAAATGATTAGGATTCTCACCTCCTTTTGTACCATTTCCTGAAACTTCCTTACTTCTCCAAGTGGAGAAATTAGAAGGCAAGACAGGTTTGTATTATATTACCCTGATCAGACAAAGGGAAGATTTTAGTAAATCCTTCAGGTTAATTTCAATTTAGCCAGAATGCCCTCCCAAGGAGCCACATGGCTTAGGATGGATGGGAGGCTCCACATCATATCTATCAGATTGGCTAACATGACAAAACAGGGAAATTATAAATGCTGGAGAAGATGTGAGAAAATTGGAACACTAATGGATTGTGGTGGAGTTGTGAACTGACCCAGTCATTCTGGAGAGCAATTTGGAACTATGCCCAAGGGCTATAAAAATGTGCATACCCTTTGACCCAGCAATACCACTTCTGGGTCTGTATTCCAAAGAGATCATACAAATGGGAAAAGGACCCACATGTACAAAAATATTTATAGCAGCTCTTTTTCTGGTAGCAAAGAATAGGAAATTAAGGAAATGCCCATCAGTTGGGGAATGGCTGAACAAGTTGTGGTATATAATTTTAATGGAATACTATTGTGCTATAAGAAATGATGAGCATTTCTTATGCTTACAGGCAGACTTTAGAAAACCTGTAAAGACTTGTATGGACTGATGCTGAGGTGAAGTGAGCAGAACCAGGAGAACATTGTACACAGTAACAACCACAATGTGTGATGACTAACTTTGATAGACTTAGCTCTTCTCAGCAATACAAGGATCTCAGACATCTCCAAAAGTCTCATGATAGAAAATGCTATCCACATCCAGAGAAAGAACTATGGAATCTGAATGCAGATTGAAGCATACTATTTGCTCTCTCTTCTTTCTTTTTTTGGTTGTTTCTTCTTTCTCGTGGTTTCTCCCATTGTTTCTAATTCTTATTTACAACATGACTAATGTGAAAATAGGTTCAATAAAAAAAAAATCTCAATTAAGACTAAAAATTAAAGGTATAAGACACAAGAATGGGGCGGGAGGGGATGCTACATCTGAAGGTCTCCTTTCTTCTTAGCTATGAAATAATAAATCTGAATCTGTTATAAAAATGAGTGGGAGTCTCATATAATTTTGAGCAAAATTTCTAAGTTAAAAATACACACCAATTCAAAAATTATTCCTAAATTGATCCCTACTTCACTTTAATTTTCAAAACTCCCAAGTAAAATTTCAGACACTTCCTTACAAGTATCTTTTTCTTTTGTCAATCCAATCCATACATTTCCAAACTTGATCAGAGAAGTAAAGGGAAAAGAAAGCTCTTTTGAAAATTCAAAGCTTCCCAGAGTGGTTAACAAGGGTACACACAATTCTATTCGCATAGGCTCTGAGAGCCACACAGGCACAGAGAAACAAACAAAAAAGGGGCTTCAGGAAAAGGCTAGTTTGATTTTAAACAGAAATGACATAACAAAAAGAACACAGAGGTGCTTGAGTTTAGTCCAGGGCCTTGAGGTCACATGTGGCCTTCTAAATTCTCGGTGCAGCCTTTTGATTGAGTCCAAGTTTTACGGAACAAATCCTTTTATTAAGGGGATTTGTTCTGTGAAATTTGGATTCAGTCAAAGGCTGAGGACCTAGAGGGCCATGTGTGGCTTTGAGGCTGCATGTTCCCCATACCTGGCCATCACCCAACTCTCTGCTGAAGCAGGTAGTTGAAAAGCAAACAAAAGCACCTATCAACAAACATAGGGCTAATAACCGACAGGACTCTACTCTCAGTTTGGATTACTATCTGTCTCCAGTCACATGTACAGAAATACATACGCTACACTTAACATGCCACAAAAATGAAAAAAAGGCTGCAGCTGTCTTAAAAATTACTTAATGTGTATATACAAGAAAGTCCTTTTTTAGGTCAAATTCTGGGATATATACATATACATATATACATGGCTAATATAGAAATTCTTGAGCTTCTCCCTTGGGTCCTTCACATCATCTGATAGACTCTATTTTGGTTTTCATTTTTTTTCTTTTGAGATTCCAATTGGCTTACTCCTTCCTGGAGGAGAAATATTTTAGATTTAGCCTCCTTTTAAATTTTGAATTTTTTTAAATGTTTTCTTGGAGGGATGAAAGCCTAGATTCTGCTTCCCTCTTTATGGCTTCTAACAGCCATTGGTTAAATGAGTCCCACTCAGGGTGTTTGGTTTTTGACCTTGCCTTATTGAGGGACATTTTTAAGTAGCTAGTTTTATCTCTATCAAATAAACCCTATTGGGGACAGCAGTTTTGGGGATCAGATTTGTCAATGATTGCCAATGTTCCTAAAACTTGCTAATATCCAAACCATACCGTGAAGTCATCTGACCAGCTGCAGTTCCTTTTAGGGAGCCAACTAAAGTAGACCTCAAATTGATTGCCTATGGGTCTTTACCAGTTCTCAATTAAAGAGGCAACTCAACTAAAAAAGATGGGAGTCTGGATTCAAGTGTGATAAGGTACTTACTGGTCCGACAAGGCGTAGAGATTGGGCATGTCAAACCCAGGAAATAAATGACCAAAAAGCCACAGAGGTTATACAACAACTGTTAAACTCTGAAAAATAACATAAAATAAAATAAAATAAAATAAAAACAAAGAGCTAATAATGTTTATAAGCAAAAAGCATTATTCCATTGGAGGAGGGAAGCTAGACACATATGCCAGGATCCGCCTTAGGACCGAGCAGAACCAAAGTAGCAAGGCTAAGCCTTGATACACATAGTCATGGTTAGACAAAGAGCCAGGCAGTGAGGTGTAGCCATAGCAATGAGAGGGTTAAAGCAACAATGAAACAAGTTTGCCTAGTGGAAAAAGTCTATTCACAGCAGGACTTAATGACCAGAACATGGTTCCTGCAGGTGTTTGTCTGAGCTCAGAGACTACTTGTGACTGGCTTGAGCCAATTCTGTGATTCAGCTGCAGTGGAGTTCAACCAGAAGGTGATTGCAAAGGATTGTTGTTATGCCAAGCTCAGGGCACAGCTTGTTTGCTGGGCCTTAACTCTGGAAAATAGGGTGTCTCCTAATATTAAGAAAAGAGAGGAGTGAAAAGAGAGGGGTGGTCTTGGCATGGGGATGCTGACAGGCACAAGGGGCCAGTACTGGTACCAGAATATCCAGAAGCTCACTTCTGGGACCAAGGAAGACATAATCTTCAATGAATCCAGCTAGTGCTGCCACCATTTAATGTTAAGTCCTGAAATAAATCAAACTCATGAGTGGAGGAATAAAGCATCTTTAATCAAGATAACAGGGTGGCACATCTGTCACCCTGAGGGATGTCCCACCAACAGACTCACTAGAAAAGGTTCTTATATTTTTAGGAGAAAAGAGGGAGGAGGTCACATTAAGTAACATGAGATGCCAGCTGCCCTTGGCAATCCAAGCAAGGCAAACCCACTCATTCTGGTTAATTTACCCTTCGTGATCTAACTTGCCATAACTCTAAATGAAGAGGACAAAGACATTAAGAGCTGAGATCCAGCTCAAGCTAGGTTCCTTTGCAAGGTAAGATCCCAGGGTGGGAACTTGGGGTGTGGTTTAAGTTCAACCTAATGGAAAGTAAATATCTTAAAAGTAAGAATACAAGAACATTACTAAAATTCTGACATTACTAGGATCATTAACAGGGGATGGCAGGTAATACTACATTAAGTATTGGCAATTTTTCTGTCATTATATTAACAATCTTTCTGTCAGCACCTACCATGTCTCCACTGTGGTGCGTGCCAGGTATTAAAAGATGAGGGAATTCCTGCTGTCCTTGGCAGAGGATACAACATGTAAACAGCAAGTGCTCATTCATGTGTGGGGTACAGAGACCAATGAATCGGAGAGTCAAAGATATTAGCAAAAAGAATAGTTCGTTTATTGACTTTCTTGTAAGAAAGGACACACCCAGCATCGCTGAAGATGGCTCCAGCCAGGGTGTGCAAGGGAGGGCAGCTCAAAGCCAGTTTATGTAGACCCTAACTCGGAACCCCCACCCACCCACTAGCTCCTCTTTCCATTGGCTGGGCTTCAGAGCTCACAGTCTAAGCGCAGAAACTTTTCCCCAGCAACAAGGTTGCAAAAAGGTGCAAAACAAGCAACTGTTGGTTCAGCAGGAAAGTAAGATAAAAGGAGGGGAGAGCCAGAAAGCCTGGACAAACAAGATACTTTTCGGGGACATCGCCTGATGTACTCCCTTATCTTGTTTACATGTTTGAATAAATCAGTAAACCAAGAAATCAATTAATCAATAACCTAATCTCCCCCTGTCCTGTTTTCTTATCAATTCTGTGGGAACCAAACTGTTAGCATTTCTCACAATTACTAAAATTCTGACATTACTAGGATCATTAAGAGGGGATGGCGGGTAATAAATACTACATTGGGTACTGGCAATTTTTCTGTCATTATATTGACAATCTTTCTGTCAGCACCTACCATGTCTCCACTGTGGTACGTGCCAGGTATTAAAAGATGAGGCAATTCCTGCTGTCTTTGGCAGAGGATACAACATGTAAACAGCAAGTGCTCATTCATGATTATTAAAGGAAGGAGAGAGCCCTAATGATTAAGGAAATCAAGAATGCTGAGACTTAAAAGAAGTTGGAGAAGAGCTGGAGGCAAAGAAGAAGTGCATTGCAGCCATAGAAGATAATGTCACACTTGAACAAAGGAGGGAAGTGGAAAGCCACATTTGCGTAATAGCAGGTAGAGCAGTTTGGCTAGCAGGAGAAGGAATGTGAAATATGCCTGGCAATGCAGGCCAGTGCTAAATCCTGAAGGGTCTTACATATCACTCTGAGGATAGAGTTTTGTTTTTTTTTATAATTAGAGACCAGAAGGAACCACGGAAGGTTCTTGAGCAATGGAATGACATGGTCAGACTTGTGCTTTGGGAAGATTCTTTTGGCAGCAGTGTAGAGGAAAGATGGGAGAAGGTCAAGACTGAAAGCTTGGAGATCAATTGGGAGGATGTGGTAATAATCCAAGTGAGAGGTGAAGAGGACCTGTACTAGGGTGGTGGCTGTGTGTGTGTAGAAAGAAAAAGATGAATGAAAGATAGGTTGTAGACTAAAACGGACTAGGAAAAATTACAGATTGGACATAGGGACTAAGGGAGAGGAAGAGTCAAGGATGACTTCGAGGTTGCAAACCTGCATGCTTGGGAGGTGCCTTCAACATAAACAGAAGATTCTGAAGGAGGGACAATTTTAGGTTAAGATATTCCATTCTGTTTTGGGCATGTTGAGTTTGAGATGTTTATGGGTTATCCAGTCGGAGAGGTCTGGCCGGTGGTTGGTGACGTGAGTCTGGAGTTCAGAAGAGATTCTAAGGCTAGATATATAGCTGGTACACTCTTTGGCCTCATTCTCCCACAGTGAAGCTTGTTATATTTTCCTCTCAGAAATCTAGGAGGTGTCTCTGGAGGTTGGAGTGTCTCTGGAGCACCCTTCAAGGTATGTTCTTCTTTTCATCTCCGCTGTTAGGTGCTAACCTCAGTTCTACCTACCTCAGTAGCTAACCTCAGTTAACTACCTACGTGAAATTAGCTTTTATCAAAGGATATTTCCTTTGAAGATATAGTAATAACAAAAGTATAAACATTTCCCTCCCACCCAACACCCCTAACACCTCAGGGGTACACTTTCTTCTATAACACTTCAGATGCTGAGAGAACAGGTTCAGACTTAAAGCTTTTATATAGCATTGGTCCCATCAAGTTCACATTTAAATGTAGCATTGTTGCTGGGTGAGTCTCAATCACTTCCCTAATCTGAATCTCAGCTTTCTTCTCTGTAAAACTATCCTCTAAACCCATGTGGATAATTGAGTTCCCCATATATGTGATATCCGATTCTTTCATAGAAGTAAATGTTTGTAGAATGGAATGTTGAGTATACTTTGCCTAAACTAATTTTTTTCCTTTTGATTTTGTAGCTCACAGAGAAAATCATCTTTTTCTCCAACATGACAGTCACCCCTCCTGCTTCATCTACGTCAACTAGCCTTGAAAACACCAGCATCTATGACTATTACTACCTTGATAATTTCCTGGCTACAGTCTGTAGGAAGGAGGCCATCTTGTCCTTTGGCCAAATGTTCCTGCCTATCTTCTATTCCCTGGTGTTTGTCCTGGGCCTGGGTGGAAACCTTTTCTTCCTCACTGTCCTCCTTTACTCTGCTCGTAGAAGACAGGTAACTGAGGTATACCTGCTAAACCTGGTTGTTTCTAACCTCCTCTTCGTGGTGACCTTGCCTTTCTGGGGGGCCTCTGTAGCCTGGCATTGGGTCTTTGGGGAAGCCCTCTGCAAAATCATATGTACCCTTTACACTGCTAGCTTCTACAGTAGCATCTTCTTTCTCAGTTGCATGAGTCTGGATAAGTATCTGGATGTTGTCCATGCTCAGACCCACCATCACCTGTGGACACCAGCAAAGAGCTGGCTCCTTTCAGGTGGGGTGTGGACAGTGGCCCTGGTGCTTTCAATCCCTGACCTGGTCTTTGCTCGAGTGCAAGAAGGCCCTGGTGGTATGCAGAGTTGTCATCTGGACTTTGGAGACAATGGGCGTCTATGGAAGGTGCTTCTTCGCTTTAAGCAGAGTATTCTAGGATTTATCCTCCCGCTTTTTGCGATGGTCTTCTTCTACACCCGAATAGGCTGCATCCTCACAGTCCTAAGACCTCGGGGCAGGGGCCGAGCCCTGTGGGCAGCTGCAGCCCTGGTTGTGGCCTTCTTTGTACTGTGGTGTCCCTACAATATTACCCTGTTCCTGCACTCATTGCAGGACTTACAGGTCCTTGAGGGCTGTGAGATCAGCAAGCATCTGGACTATGCCCTTCAGGTGACAGAGAGCATCGCTTTCACTCACTGCTGCCTCTCCCCTTTCCTCTATCTCTTTGTCCACCATCGACTCAGGAAGCATCTCAAAAAGGTTCTAGAAGCCATCTTCAAAAGATCTAGAGAGTCCTCTGCTGCCCGTCCCTCCCAGACCAGTTATTCCAGTAGTTATTCCACAACCCAAGAAGAAATGACTAGCACTGACAATCGGGAAGAAAGTTTACAGGATCGTGGAATTTAGAGCAAGAAGAGACCTTAGAGCTCATTCAGTCCGACCTCCTCATTTCACAAGTGAGGAGTACTAGGAGAAAGTGTAAATGACTTGCCCAAGGTCACCAAGGAGTAGGTAGTATTTGTGGGTTTTGAACCCAATTCTCTCTAAATAGAGCTCCTTCACAACCAGGACTGGTTCCTTCACGACCAGAACCTTCCACCAAACATCATGTTGGCCTGTTGTAGCCAAAACAATCAACCTCAGAAATAGGAGATGTGGATTTGAATCCTGGTCCCGCCATTTCTTAGCTGTGTGACTTCCGTATAGGGTTTCGTGCAGTGGCTCCCAAATCCTTTAGATGTAAGAACCCTTTTTTTTAACAACCACAAAAACACTGACAAACCTTCATGTAATAATAGATGTATTGTTAACATCCATCAACTAAGGAAACAGGTCATAACAAAATGACAATACCTGGTAAGGACTCTTAGACCCTTTGTGGTAAGTCTGGGCTCCGAGGAGGGCCACAGTCCACATCCTGGGATCCACCTGTATGGTGGAAACAACCCTGGATTTGGAGTCAGAAAACCTGGCTCCAGGTTCTAGCTGTGCTGTATACTCCCTAAATGATTTTGAGCTACTTGCTTTCCTCTCTGAGCTTCACCTTCTTCAATTATAAAATAAAAAGGTTGGCATTCTAGAAAACAATTTGAAATTATGTGAGAAAGGTTATTAAATTGTGTGTACCTTTTGATTTAAATAGTTCATTGCTATATATATATACCCTAAGGAATCTGTAAAATAGGGATGATAATAGCTTCTACCTCCCACGTTGTTGTGAAGATCAAAAGAGATAATCTTTATAAAAGCACTTAACACAGTGTTTGGCATACTATAGGTGCTATAAATATGTTAGTTTATGTTAGTTAGTTAGATTATGATTATTACTATGGAGGTTAAAGTCAGAAAGATATGTTTCTTGTATACCAAAATATTCATAGCAGCACTATTATGGTAGCGCAGCTCTGGAAATAAAGTGGGACCCTTTCGGTTGTGGAATGGCTGAACAAATTGTGGCATGTGAATATTTAAAGTGCATGAATGTTGCCTATGTAGGTTATGCGTCCATCCACATGAGTCTGTGTAAAGGTGGCTAGAATAGTTCTCAGTACTTATGAAACACTGAGTTTCATTCTGTTCTCCAATATAGAGGAAGAGCATTATTCAAATACCAGACTTGAGCTCTGGGTAACAAATGTCATGGAGTATTATCGCACTGCAAGAAATGAGAAATGTGGAAAATTCAGAGAATGTTGGAGGGACTTTATGACCTTGCAAGGTAAAGCAAGCAGAACTGGGAAAACCACCCCTATAATAATGTAAATGAAAAAAAAAACCCTCCAAAATGTGGCCCCACAGAAGAGGTAAGAAAACGTGCCTTCCTTCTTTTGTTGCAGAGACAGTCCCTGCTCTCAAGGGGTTTACATTCTAATGAAAAAAGCTAACACCTAAAAAGAAGCTTGTGGTGAGGAAAATTCAGTATAAATTTAGACTTAGAGCACTATAGGACTTTGTTGTTCAGTCCTTTCAGTCACGTCTGACTCCCTGTGACCCCCTTTGGGTTTTCTTGACCAAGATACTGCAGTGGTTGGCCATTTCCTTCTCCAGTACTATAGGAATAGGGGTGATGATTATTCTATGTAAAAGCATCAATAGGTGAAACATTCTGTGAGGAGTTCATTCCATGGGACCAGCACTACAAATAGGTAATTGGCCAAACGGGGCAACCAAGGAGATCTGTTGACCTTAAGATGGACTTAGGTTATGAAGAGGGAACATGTTCTCTCAGGTAACCACCACCCCCATGCCCAAACCTGTGCATCACTACATAGCCCATGCTAATGCTATTTAGAGTAGACTCTGTTTAGAGAGGAAAACTTTCAGCATCTTGGGAGGGTGGGGGTGGGAAGTTAAGTGCAAACTCTTATGAGAAAGACAGGATGTAGGAAGTTTCAAATGGGCAGCAGAAGAGAGAGAAGAGAAAACAGTTGTAGATCCAGGAAGGTGCAGTCTCTCTCCACTCCCAACTCTAAATAACTCCTGCCACTTACAGGAGGATTTGTCCCATGCTTCCAACAGCAGTTACAGACATCCTCCTGTCGCGGCCGCTGCAGTGGAGAGCATGAGACCAGCTCAATGCTCAGTAACCCGGAGACGCATGGATGAGGCAGGAGACAACAAGATGGCAGAAGCTCCTGTTTATTGTTAGCTGGGTGTGACCTTTATAGCCCTCAAGGCACCTTCGGATCGCGTGATCAGAGCCCTACAGCCAGTCAGTAGATCCCCTCATAGCGTGCCGGCCTCGTGTCAAGGTCGTTCACAGGATATGCACGGGAACACTTAGCCATTCAGAGGAGAGCCGAACTAGCCATGATTGCTGCGTGTCCACAGAGGAGAGGTTAGTTAAGACTTCCTTGCTTTCACACAACAGACTGTGACCCTCAACTTCCTGCTTAGAAGCCAGGACTCCGATAGGCAGGGCGCAGCCCCGTGACAATTCCTGTGATGTCCTCCTAGTTATGGTTTCCATCCCTTCAAAACCTTGGTTGTAAGATTTCAATGCTTTGAAGTTGTGGTGCAGAGACATGACTTTTAGACCTGAAGATGCAGAATTGGATGTCTGAGGTGATAGGTGATCAGCGTTCTTCAGGGAGTGCTGAGAAAGGGGACTCATAAATCTTTTTCCTGTTCTACTCTCTTATGGTACTAGGCTGATAGGTGGAGGTATGTACATCTTTCATTCCCAAGATATCTGAAAGGTCATGGTTTGAAAAATGCATGGGAAGTCTGTTTACTGCTTGATTCTTATCTCTTGCTTTATGTCCATTAAACTATAAGTATACTTTCCCTTTGTGATCATACTATGTGATTAATTCTGACTGGAAAGGGAAGTTTCAGAAGAAAAAAATGGAAATTCATGGAGAAGTTTTATAGATCAGTAGTCTCCAAAGTCTGATGCATGCAGCTTAGTAGGAACACAAAAAAAATTCTTTGCTAGTGCTGGAAGAAGAAAAGTTAGTCCCATTTATATTCATTTTTAGCTTACTAAAAAGAAATTAAGATTTACTAATATTTAATATGTGGATTGGCCCTGAACCTTCAATCAATCCACCTGTGAGATGGTGACATGCATGTTATATAAAGCATTGGGACATAACAGTGGAAGTTCCACAATACAAAAGAAGGGCTGACAATGGCGCCCTATGATACGCTACAGCTCAAGTGTGTCTAGTTAAGTGGATATACAGATTATATTATGTACCTTTAAATGAGCAAACCCTCACAAAATGAACAAGTGGCTTAAAAGGATTCTTTTTTTAAAAAAATTAATTAATTAATCAATTTTTAGTCTTCAGCATTCACTTCCATAAGCTTTTGAGTTTTAAATTTTCTGTCCCTACCTCCCTCCCCAAGACGGCATGCAATCTGTTATAGGCTATGCGTATACATTCCTATTAAACACATTTTCATATTAGTCATGTTGTAAAATAGAATTAGAACCAATAGGAGGAACCATAAGAAAGAAGAAATAAAACAAAAGGAAAAAAAAAAGCAAATAGTATACTTCGACTTGCATTTAAAGTCCATAGTTCTTTTCTGGATGTGGATAGTATTTTCCATCATGAGACCTTTGGAGATGTCTTAGATCCTTGCATTGCTGAGAAGGGCTAAATCTTTCAAAGTTAGTCATCATACAACGTGGCTGTTACTGTGTACAATGTTCTCCTGGTTCTGCTCACTTCACTCAGCATCAGTCCATACACGTCTTTCCAGGTTTTTCAGAAGTCGGCTTGCTCATCTTTTTTTTTTTTTGGCAAGGCAATTGGGGTGAAGTGACTTGCCCACGGTCACATAGCTAGTAAGTGCTAAGTGTCTGAGGCTGGATTTGAACGCAAGTCTCCCTGACACAAGGGCCGGTGCTCTATCCACTGCTCCACCTAGCTGCCCCTTGCTCATCATTTCTCATAGCACAATAGTACTCCTTTACATTCATATACCACAGCTTATTCAGCCATTCCCCAATTGAAGGGCATCCTCTCAATTTCCAGTTCTTTGCCACCTCAAAAAGAGCTGCTGTAAATATTTTTGTACATGTGGGTCCTTTTCCCGTTTGTGTGATCTCTTTGGGATATAACCCTAGAAGTGCTATTGCTGGGTCAAAGGGTATGCACATTTTGATAGCCCTTTGGGCATAGTTCCAAGTTGCTCTCCAAAATGGATGGATCACTTCACAACTCCACCAACAATGCATTAGTGTCCCAATTTTCCCACATCTTCTCCAACATTTATCATTTTCTTGTTTTGTCATCTTGGCCAATCTGATAGGTGTGATGTAGTACCTCAGAATAGTTTTGATTTGCATTTCTCTAATCAATAGTGATTTAGAGCATTTTTTCATATGACTATAGATAGCTTTAATTTCTTCATCTGAAAACTGCCTGTTCATCATATCCTTTGACCATTTATCAGCTGGGGAATGACTTGTGTTCTTATAAATTTGACTTAGTTCTCTACATATTTTAGAAATGAAGCCCTTTTCAAAGACACTGGTTGTAAAAATTCTTTCCCAGTTTTCTACTTCCCTCCTAATCTTGGTTGCGTTGGCTTTGTTTCTGCAAAAACTTTTCAATTTAATGTAATCAAAATTATCCATTTTGCATTTCATAATGTTCTCTATCTCTTGTTTGGTCATAAAAAATTCTGTTCTCCATAAATCTGACAGGTAAACTATTCCTTGCTCTTTCAGTTTGCTTATAGTATCAGCCTTTAATCTAAATTGTGTACCTATTTTGACTTTATCTTGGTATATGGCTTAAAAAGATTCTTGCAAAGAGACCTCAGGTTGCAATAATCCTGGTAATGGGAGCACCAGCAAAGAACAAGAAAATGGCAGAAAAAGCCCCTTCTCTTAGTAGGAGCTCTTCAGTATTCATAGGAACATGTATATAAATATGTGTGTATACACACATACAAAGATGTATATATACATGTATGTGTGTGTGTGTGTGTGTGTGTGTGTGTATAGAAAGACAGACAGACAGACCAACTAAGTCTCCCTATGTCTCCTAGGCTGGAAGTAAAAGGGCCATTCCTATTACCAATTGTCACAGGAGTTTTGAACTGCTCTGTTTCTGTCTTGAGTTGGCATGGGAACTCCTTAGGCAGTCTAGTGGCTCCCTGTCCCTGGGGATTCAACATATTAGTGCTAGATTTAAAGTGGACATCCTATTAGCACTCAGAACTCAGGAGCTCAAGAGATTTACCACCCTCAGACTTCCCAGTGGCAGGGATCACAGGCATGCACCACCATGCCCAGCTAAGCCATATTACAAGCTAAAAACAATCAACAATCACATCTGACAAGGTCAGTCAAAAGAAAAAATGTTCAAGAGTATTTGAAATTGTAATGTGTATCATCAATGATTATGTCAGTATATATTTGCCCTAAGTATATGTATGTTGTACACCATCAAGATTAGAAAATATTTATTTAGTGGATAGAGCACCGGCCCTGAAGTCAGGAGGACCTGAGTTCAAATCCGGCCTCAGACCAAACACTTGTCACTAATTAGCTGTGTGACCCTGGGCAAGTCACTTAACCTCAATTGCCTTAAAAAAGAAAATTATTTTAAAAGGAAACTTTTCTAACTGGAAATTATGTAAGTGGATTACAGGCAAATAATTGCAATTACACACTGAAAATAACTAAAACCAAACAC